AGCCACTGGAGAATTCGCGATTATTGCCGGGGTTTCATAATGTCTTATAAGTACTGGTGTAAAATTTTCAAAGTGGTGGAATACTCTCTTTTTAAAGCTTTTTCTTCTTGAAATGAAGTCAAAAAAATTTGAGATTGATAAAGATTCCACGGAGCAGACCTGACGACTCCAAGGCTGAAGAAGCCTAGAATGGTGCCTGATGCATGAATTTCTTGTATTGAGCTCACAATTAATTTGACAAAAAGAAAGGCTTTTTCCAAACTGCTTGTGTTACAAGTGTGCAGTGATGTTCCATCCATGATTGTTAAAAGTCAATCAGTGATTTCAATGAATCATTTAAATCTCAATAGATCGGGATTTGAATTTGATTTGATTTGATATCGTTAGACCGAAACTAGGGTAGATAAGAATTTAATTTTGTGAATATATATCTAAAAGTATTTTAGGAGTTTAAAAAAAAGTTATATATTTTGATCAGGATTATTATATAGTGATAAACAATTGGAATCTGCAATGCTAGAGTATAGTTTGTAATATGATATTTGAATAAAAATTTATATAATGTTGAACAACGTCGCATGTACATAAAATTGTTTTAAAATTTTAAAGACATTTGGATGTAAAATACTGTTCTAAATTTCTTTTGTGAGTATTTATTTTCAAAATTTTCCTTATACTTTTTTTAAAAAATTGGAATTTAGGTTTAATATCAAACTATAAAAGTAAAAAATCACTTAAAGATAAAACATGAATCCTGAAATGAAGGATATTTAGAATAAATCTACTATTTTTTATATAAATATTATAACATGACAAAACGATAAATTTCCATTTAATCATTCATAGGATTGATTACATGGTAAACATATCTAACCAGCATACAAATTATTAAATTGCCGTTAATAATTAACTCATGCAATTTTAATCAAACAAACACAAGGAAAGTTGATATGTCTTTGTTAACAAACACATTTACTTTTCATCTACCAACGAGAAATATCGTTGACATGGCAATTTTCTCTTCAAATAAATTATATCTTCATTTTGCATAAACCCTTCATTATATCTTCATTTTCACTAACTAAAGATGATTATGTTTTCATTTTTTAAGATGAACATATGTGCAACTTTAATATTGTATGTATGTTCAAAAGTTTTTAACCATCAAATTTGCATTAATTAGGTTTCTATTTAGTTGTTTGGTTAATTCATATGGTGAATATACTTTTCATTGTATTCAATATTCTAATTTGGAATATTTGTGTAATCAAATCATTTTTTTAATTATCTTGTTTATATTAACTATCAAGATCAATAGATAAATGAATACTGATGAATTGATTTGATTGTGATACATGTGTTTAAGTTTTATGACATTTAAATACCTTTGTGACCTTAACTTGTATAATTTTATATATAACTAAATATTATACATAAATATGTTTTGATATTTTCAAGATACCTACTCTCATCCAGTATTTCCAGTCAGTAGGATCCGGGTTCAATGGTCTCTAATCTAAGCGCGAACATTCTAAAGACATGCATTACACAATTTTCTGCATGCATGAAGTTCATAAGCTAGCTAATTTGTATAAGGAGTTATTATTTGCTAGTTTCATCCGAACCCAATTGAAGTATCCTACTGAATCTACATCTCGTGTCTACACATGTCACATCTGTGTTGTATTGTACAGTCAAATATTAATAGCTGATGTCTTTGCCCATCGGCTTAGAAAGACGATGAAGGACACAAGTGAAGCAAATATGGGAATTGGTATATAGTTAGAGTATTTGCCTACTGGCAAACACACATAATAAGGAGAGAGGTGTGACTCTTGCGGAGAATGAGGTCTTTGCTCAGAGGACGACAGGTTGCTTCGTGGAGAAGAACATTCCTTGACAGCTGATCCCAATGAAAATTCCTGTGTCATGAATCAGATTCAGAATTGAAATTTGTCTTGAAGCTTGTCTTTTTGAAATTTGTCTTGTCTTTTGTCAGGATTTGATACATTGACGTGTTTTCCACTTCAAGATTGTCAATGAGGAAGACCTCAATAGTAAACCTTGAGAACCTGCCAATTTCCATTTCTACGGACTGATGAAATACTTATGTGAAAGAGAGCTTACTAAAGGTTGCCTGTGAATACTACCTAATACCGTGGAAACTAATAATCTTGAAATAAGATTTTATTCAGTTAATTTGTAATTAGTAAAAACCATAATTTATCAATTTAAAATCTCCAAAGAGATATTAGGCTTTTTTAATGATAAAAAAGCATAATTTGTTATTTTCAAATAATTGAAGCAATTTTGAAATGATAAAAACCATGACATAATCTTCATAGAGATAGTAATATTAGTTTTCTATATTATTGAAATTGAATGTTATTTTTATATTTTATTGAAAATCTTCATCTCATAACAATGATGTGACTCTTTAACTAACCGTCTTCAGATTAGTGAAAACTATTTTTTTTTTGTAATGAAACATACTTGGGATAAGTATAGTAATAAGAGATGCAACAAGTACAATCTCGCTTACTTAATTTACAATAATACCTAATGTCTTAACAATGTATAATTCTACAAACACATCACTAGTCAGGCTTATGTTATCTCAACCTCAATATACATGCTGATCTTGTTCGATTTTCTGGATCAATCAGATCCTTTTCTTTCGGAGTCAGATCTGTTCGAATTCCAATAGTTAAACGAAAGGGAAATATTCCAAAAGCTTGAAAGGGAAACTCAAAACAAACGAAATATCTATATCTATGTTATTTATACATACCCCGGATGTCTGAAATATATCTAGCTTTTTCAATATAAAACTTTAAGAAAAATAAAATCAAAAGGGTTCGGTAGCAATGTGTTTGAAGAGGAAACCTCTTGTAGCCGGCAGCATTCACCATGCCTGCGTGCCGTGCCGGTCTACACTTGGTTTCAGAATGAGATGATCAAGGAGTAAGTCGAAAGGGTAAGGTCTACGGGCTTTCCTTTTACAGTACATCAGTCCTTTTTTCACTGCAAGTCTATGTTTGAATTGGAAACTGATATTCGACCAGAAAGAGCGACATTCACTATTTATGTATTATTGAGATCAATACAGTTTTCGCATTACTAGTTTGACATAAATCCCAATGCTTTCTCCAATATGCCTATTACGGTTGAACTTTCTGAAATCCAGTTACCTATCCATAGAGACGACGATTGCTCTTTCCCAGCGTCAAGCTCCTCGCAACGACTGATCACAAGCTACAACCACGATGCCCTACCGGGGATTCGAGTTCTGCTTAAAAGTGGTTGTACTAATTTATCCCAACGTAAAATCTCATCTACAGTACATCAGTCAGTACTAAGCCAGCGTAGAAGCATCCACAATGCGTAACTTACTTCGGGCATAGAGGGTGAAATAGGGGGACAACCGAAAGAAACCGCCTGACTTCCTCTTGCTAACAGGGAGTTACATCCGGAGGTTTTTCAGGGTAGAACCCGGGTACACCCCCTTAAATGTAAATGAATTTCGGTAACATTTCAAGAGCTTTCAATCCACTGAGAACCCACTGGAGAAATCAAGAATGCTCAAGTCAGACGTGAGCTCCTTCAGGGTGACCAGGTGGTTTTCAACCATGCTTGTCAAACCCTGAGAGTGTTAGCGAGAATCCCACTACACTCTCTGTCATCTCGACTACGTTGGTCTATTCCGCATCTGCCGGTGCAGAGTACATGCAGAGGCCGGATGGTTCGGTATCCGTACGCTGGAATGAAGTCTGTAGAAAGCTGTTATACTGCCCTCTGTAGAAGCAAGATCTACGATCATACGGTGTAGCTCTCTCTGCAAAGCCCATCAAATTCGACGATATCGTGAACATGGACTGAGCGCGATGCTCCCTGGCCACCACTCTATCAGTGAAGCCTGATGGACTCTCCGACATTCTACCATTCCGGCCTTTTCTTGCTAAGGTTTGCCTCCTAACCTTTGCAAGCATATGTCCCTTTGCATCGCCAGTACGTTGAAGTAGTGATGGTATGACGATAGATCATACACTTGAGATGTCAGGTTTATGCACAACATGTTACTTCACAGCTGACTCTTGGAGTGCACGGAAATGGAGAATAATTTGGAATTGGTGGAAATTGTGTGGGCAGTCAATTATCTGCTTAATTACCAGGTAACAACCAACGGAGAAGTCAGTCAGGCACAAGATACACTTACAACCAGGATTTCCCGAAAAAAGTCACTGAAATCGAAGCTAACTTCGAAAAAAGGTTTACGAAGATTTCACAACTCGTGATGCACCACGGCAGACATTGTGTTCCTGTGGATGATGTGTCATCCTCGAGTAGAACGGCATCGGGAGTCGTTGACTAGATTCATCTTCTTACTCTGTGCAAGAGAAGAAGATGAAGAGATTCTCGAAGAAGTCCAGATTCCAATTCCCCGACCGAGCTCCACGAGAGGTAGCAACAATGAATGCACTTCACTCTCTTGGGACAGAGTGCTCTCAAAAGTGCCAAATGTACCAAAACACTCGTTCTGCAGGTCCCATTAGGTCAATGAAGAGTGGACGTTCATTCCCAGCTAGGAGGCCGGAAGGCCAGAGCAGCAGAGCACATCCGATGGAAGATCCAGGCACCTGGACCCTAAACCCTGGACATCTTGTCGCCAGCTTGACTAAGAGCATCGTCCGACCTTCGCTGAAACCCACAGCGGCCGCAGTGCCGCACCGCAAACCGCCAGGGGTTCTAAGGCCCTGCGGCCTCACAGTCGGTCACAGTCAGTCCACCGGACGTGGGCAAGGAGGAGATTCTGTCCTCACCCGGGCGCAACGTTCGCTTGTGCCCGCGGAGGTCCCCGGGACAGGAGGGACGTCGGGAACCCAAAACCCTCGACATTTCGTCCGAGAGCTCCCTCGAGAGCAGAGGTCGTCGAGAATGGGGTTGTGGGTCGGACGAGAGAGAGCAGGGGAAGAGATTTGTTAAGAGGATTGGGTGCGGGCGAGAGCGGGAGGAGAGATGGTGGCACACAAGGAGTTCGAGTTGCGCAAGCAGGCTGTGCTGAGAGGGCTGGCGAGCGATGAAGTGGATAAGTCTCGGAAGGGAGGGGTGGATGCTCCGATCGCGGATCTGATCAGAAGGATAAACTCGCATCCCGAGTTTTACACGACCAGCTCGTGCTCTGGCCGTGTCTCGTTGTTTCTGGATCAACCGTGCGCTGCGCCTTTGGGTGATGATGTTCCGGATTCGAGCAAGGAGAAGGTGAAGAAGGGGGGCGACTGGATTTTCGTGAGCCATGAGGCAGCTGCGGAGGATGATGTGGTGAACGCGGTGAACCAGAGGTATGCAGCTCACCAGAAGGGACTTCTGGTGTTTCGATTCGAGCCTTTCATTTTGGCCCTCGAGTGCTCGTCTTTGGCGGCTTCTCAACAGCTCGTGACCTGCGCAATGGCCTCTGGGTTTCGTGAATCGGGAATCACGAGCGCAGGCAAACGTTTCATCCTGGCTGTCCGGTGCTCGATTCGTATGGAAGTGCCCATTGCTGACGAAGGCGAGCTTTTGGTCACCGAGGAGTATCTGAGGTACCTCACCAGACTGGCAAACAAGAAGATGGTTTTGAATCAACAACGCATAGACAGATTTTTGTCGACTTTCACCGCCACCGTCGAAGGTGGACTGTCTTCCCAATCGGTTCAGGTCCCATCTTCCAGGAGGAAGGCCGCCAGCGGGTTCGCAGGGCTCAGGAAACGTCAGAAAATGTTCTCGGAGGTAGCGGACAAGCTGCTCTCGAGCCTCGAAAAGAGGCAACAGAGTGTTTTGTCCAGAATTGGCCTCCTTGAGAGTAAAAGTGGTTGCACACTGATTTCTGAGGTTCAGGATGATGAGCGGTACCAACAATCTGCAGGCAGTAGAGAGAGCTATTTCAGTACAACTTTCGTGGTACAGAGAATGACGGATGCCAATAGAACTCCTCCAGTAGAGGTAAGTCCCCAACCCGTGAAATTGAGTGTTGTGATGGAACCTCATTGGTAGCAAATATCATTGGCGAGCACAGAAGGTTGACTGGAATGCTGGTTGAGCTTCTTGCTTCTCTAAGAATTCTTCATTGTTTCAATCTATTAAGCAGGAATGTCGCTCCCTTGCAATGAGGAAATAGAAAACTTTGGATTTGTCATCAGAGTAAGTACTATTTGTTTACTGAACTTCCAGGACAACAGGTCTCGTCCCAGCGCCCGGGTTTATGCGCTGCATCCTTCGTAATATCTGGTGAACCACCCGAAAAGCTATTTCGATGGGGACATTCGACATGTGCACTGGGTGATCAGGAGTCAGGGTGCAATTCTGTGCTCATATACGGAGGGTATGGAGGTCCTGAAAGGCACGCACGCCAGAACGATCTCCTTATGCTGGACGTACAGGAAGGGTCATTGAGAAGTCTACAAACAGTTGGCTCACCTGCTCCGATCATGGCACACACAGCTTCGAGAGTGAAGGACACCATGGTCGTGATTGGTGGCCGGAGAGATCCATCCTGTGTACTAAATGGTGTCAGTGTTCTGGATTTGAAAACATTCGAGTGGGAGACACCGGTTGTCACCGGTGTCGAATTTCCTCCTAGACACCGTCATTCTTCTGCTGTCATGGGTTCTAGAATCTTCGTATATGGGGGTCTCAATGGCTCCCAGCCACTCAGCGACTTACACATGCTGGACACAAGTTCCTGGACGTGGTCATTGATCACATGCGGGGGAGAACATCCATCTGCACGCCATTCGCACTCGTTAGCTGCTGCTGGCGGTAAGCTCTTTCTTTTTGGTGGCCGTGAAGGAAACAAAGTATACGGCGATTTGTACGTTCTGGATCTGGGAACTCTACGCTGGAATTTGGTGAAAGCTGGAGGGAGGCCTCCATCTCCTCGGTTTTCACACACCATGACAGTAGTAGGGGATCGCCACATAGCAGTCAGTGGTGGTTGCCCCATCACCAAAGATAAAGATCTCGTCCTTCTAGATACTTCAACTCTGATGTGGGCCAGAAATCAAGTTGATTGGCCCCGTGAGGCTCTTCTGGTCAGGCACACGACCACTTTGGTTGATGATACTCTCATAACCATCGGTGGTGGCGCAGCTTGCTTTGCTTTTGGTACTCACTTCAGTCCACCCTTAAAACTCAGCCTTAAACCGTTTGTTCACAGTGATCCTAGCTTAGGGAAGAAGCTTCAGAGGGAGACTGAGCGACCATCTCATGTAGAAAAGGAAGACGAAGATAGGAAGCTCTTGAGTTGGATCCTGAAGGTCGACTCACGCGTGGCAAAGCAGGCGAAGGATGCATTGAAAAAGTTGGCCTGGCTGGACCTCAGGCGGAAATCCAAAGTATCAGAGCAAAGGAATCACGTCGCTTTTCCAATTATTGAGTCCGCTGCCTCTTTTCTATCGACGCATATCAAGGCAGGGCAGCCTAGTATGTCGGATGAAGTGCCGAGTTCTTACCCAGAAGTATGTAATCATCAGCTTAACGAGGTGGAGAATAATGATTTAGAAAACCAGGCTTTGAGAACGCTTGCTGCTTGCGGAGGCGAGGTTTTGAAAGCAGAAATGCCACTTCTTGCTAAACAGTGCTGTTCACCTTTTGCAAGCATGGAAGGAGCAGTTTCTGCAGTTTTGGAGCAAAATCATTTACCCAAGTCGTTACTGCAAGAGCTTCCCAAAAAATGGGAGCGGCTTGGCGATCTGGTCGTCCTTCCAGCTGGATCTTTGACCAGCAGTGTGTGGTCTTCATTAGGGGAGCAAGTGTGGAGAGCTATTGCGATGTCGCTGAGTGCGAATCGTCTAGCTCGTCAGGCATCTGTGGCTGCAACAGGAACCAGAGACAGCCAGCTCCAGCTCTTGCATGGAACAAGTGGGTGGGTTGAACACAAAGAGAATGGGATTGTCTATTGTTTCGACGCCACCAAATGCATGTTCTCGTCTGGAAATGTGTCGGAGAAACTCCGAATAGCGAGCATGCAATGCCGAGGTGCAACCGTTGTGGATCTATTCGCCGGCATCGGGTATTACGTACTGCCCTTCTTAATCAAGGCAGGTGCTCGACATGTTTATGCATGTGAGTGGAATCCTCATGCACTTGCAGCTCTACGTCACAATCTACGGGTGAACGGAGTCGAAGACTCGTGCTCGGTGCTGGAAGGAGACAATCGGTGTTCAGCCCCTGAGGGTGTCGCCGATATCGTATCCCTGGGGCTCTTGCCCTCGAGTGAGGCTTACTGGCTGACTGCTGTGGCTGCTCTTCGGCCTGAAGGGGGCCTACTGCTGGTGCATGAAAACGTGAAGGATTCCGAAGAGGAGAAATGGACAGAGCACTTGCTCATGTCGATCAGGAGTCTGGCCACCTCGATCGGTCGAGTTTGGACTGTATCTTTGGTTCATCTGGAAAGAGTCAAGTGGTATGCTCCACACATTCGGCACGTCGTAGCAGATGTGCTCTGTAAACAATATGATGGTTAAACTGGCTGGTTCATGATAAACTTTGCCATTCTGTGAGTTTCTTTACACGAGTCTCTGTTGCGTCAACCATTAATTTAGACAACCGTCTGAGCTTGTACGCAGAATAGGTTCCATCTCTCTGTGCCTGTCATGTTTTTGTCAAGCCTCAGGCTTCATGCAGAGCTTCATCGCTCTAGGCGTACGACTATCCTGCAAGAATTCATTTACAACAGCTACACATAAATCAGTTACCATACTTTGGGAAGCTCAATACAAAACCGGCTGCTTCGGTTTGAGGATTAAAAGCGAAACTCTGTGGAGCCCGAGATGTTTTTACGTCGTGGGGCAATATTTCGTCATAGTTATACCCAAAACGTGAAAAGACGACAAGCAAGTATTGAGATTTAAATTTACTGGCTGAAAGTACTGAGATTCACAGAAGCAGACGAACACTTTTCTGAAGGATCACATCTTCTCTCTCAGCATTGGTGGATGAAGTTGGTGAAGATAGTGCCGAAGATTAGAAGCTGAGGCGAGAAGAACTCTTCACCATTGAGTTAGAAGGAGCAGTTAGTGTCGAACTTCTGCAAATTGGCAGAATATGTAAAAATAATGTGACTGTGACACTTCTCACGACTGCAATTAAGGCGGATAGTCCCGATTCTCCCACTGAAAGGAGGTGAAATTAAGGAGAGTTGGACTAGGTTGATACACTATCATATGGACAAAGGTCGAATCAAAGCAGCATCGTGTTTGCTCTAAATTGCAGATGTGGACTGTTGATGTAAAACTCCCTTGGCGAGCATATGTAAACCAGAGGGTGGTTTCAAGTTGATAGCATGTGCATCAAGTACATTGTGAAAGATATGATGTATTCCGCTCAATATGCATATTAGAGACCTTGTGTGAGAAGTACAAAATTGATATAGTCTTAAGTCTCAAGACCCACAGGCCGAAATATGATTCAAAGATCAAAGTGCGGAAGTATGAAAATAATTACTTCTAATTTTAAATACAACTCAAGTCGGATTTGGCGCCACAAGGCAATGCATGGCACAGAGTGATGCATCGCCCTGCGGTGGCAACGAGTCCCGACTCCATTGTCATCCTCTCTTGCTGTGTGCCTAGCCTTTATCACAAATTCAACGCGCAGGAATTGTACATAATTTACTTCGAAATCACTGCAGATTCAACGGTACACATCGTTCCATGCATGGAATCCAGAATCATGACATTGCCTTCAAGATTGTGGCTTTGCTGACATCTTCCTTCGAGGGGCACAGTAGATCTTCAAATTAGTGTATGCCATCTCAGTAATAACGCGCGCCGTTGACGAGTTTATCTTACAAAGACAGTGGGACCGGATCTAAAACTACAAGTAATAAAAGTGACTCTACGCGGTGACGGCCGAAGTCAGAAACTGCACAATTGTCGTGGTGTGGGGCAGACGGTAAACACGTACAAGAGTGTTGTTAATTTTGATCGTGTGGACGGTTCGACATGCGTGCCTAAGTGGACCTTTGATCACGTCTCAGACAAGATCACGCTAGCGGCAGTTTGCTTTGCAGGCCCGGGAGATTCTTTCTTCTGTTTTCCATCTTACCATGAATTTAGGATGATTATATTCAAAAAGAAAAGATGACATGTGAAATCTTTGCGGTTCTAAGACAGTGGCTCTAAGTTCTTAACATTTTACACTGAATTCTTTCAACGCTTACACCGACCAAATTGATGGACACAAACGACAATTTCTACTTCAGGGACAGGGGCTGGACTTATCTTCTTATTCGCTTTCATGTACAGATTTCTCCACAACAGCAAAAGGAATCTGTTCGGCTCGTTGACACGCTCAATCTCGAGTTCGAGTAGCGTTTGCAAGATAGTTCAGAATTGAATTGTTCCTTCCAGATTGTTCAAAGCTAGTTTACTAGAATAAAAAAACCTGTCGCGCAGTGTAATGACATGCCTACCCTCGCTAAAGGAAACGATTTTTAAGAATACCAATGACCGAACGATGTACCTCATGTCATGACTGAAAGCTTTTCGTTTCCGCCAAATAAGCCTACGAGAACAATTTCGGTCGAATGGCTTTCTTACGCCACCTGTCCGCCGAGTGACAGACCCTTTCTTGATCCTGTCAGGAATTAAAAGTAAATGCTCGTAGAATTTGCCAAGTAAGAGGGACACCCGATGACACCAAGCCACCTTGGATACATCTTACATCCTACGCTTAAGACCTGGACGGCATACAAATTTGCTCTTTGTACAATGCGTTTATTGTTTGATTCTTTTAAACAGGAGACATAGCCGTATAGCTCAGTCACAGAAGCAATCTGCGATCTAATTCCCTGTCAAACCATCCAATAGTTGTGGTACGAGTACACCTATCTACAGAATCTGCGAGAAGAATTTGTCTAATTTTTCTAATGCCACCGAACTTCATCCTTGATCCCGTAAGATGAGTCTTTCATGCTTGGATCCACTAACTAATCCACAATGAGTCACACGCTCAGGTAACTTGAGATATATCCAGCTTTGAAGGCCCCACTTCTTGATGTAACACGATCTGCCAACCTTCACTACAGAAATACTAACCAAAACTAAATATCTTCACCATCACCGCCTGAGATGAAGCTCTCAGAAACACCATTGTCACCTCCACTGTAATTGCATGTGAGAAATTTCCTCCTCAGTGTGCTCCAATGGATGAGTTGTGGTGTTCCCTTCCGTCCCGAGAATTGATGGTATTCTTTACATGATAAACTTCATAGAAATTGGAGCCACTGCTTGCTCCTCAGGTCACCAAGATAACGCTAGGATCACAGCAGCACTCGTCCAGTAAACAGCAACAACAAAGAGCCGCCAAGCTGCAAAGACGAACGTTGGCTCCAGCTGTCAGTTCCTTTCAAAATGCTCGATGTTTAGTTTAAATGAGCAAAAGACGGTTGAGACCAGAAACATGGCATCCCAAGATCATGAAGAGAAATGAGAGAGACCAAGAAAGCCATAATCTCACCATCCCTCGAGGAATCCACGGTTTCGAGGAGGTGGTGCCTGTTGATAAGCAGGAGGCGCCATCACGGGACCCTGTTGATAAAATTGTTGCTGTTGAGGAGGATAACCTGGAATCAGACACTCTCCAGCTGTTAGCTCGGGACACTTGTCGTCTAAACTCACGGACGACCTCTCTCGTGCATGCAATCTGCCAGCATCGGCAGAGACATCCTCAGGAGCAACAAACAAGTTGCAAGATTCATCGAACTCAGACAACGAACGGACCTTGAGGCGGGTATCCTTGAGGGTATCCTTGAGGCGGGTATCCTTGAGCACCATAGGGATAACCGTACCCTTTGTTCTCCATCCTGTCGCTCTTTTTGTTTCCTTCGATGGCAGTTTTTGTGATTTTCTCACGTTCAATCCAACCCAAATCAACCACACCAACCTTTCAAGAAACGCTCGGGCCTAAATACCGGCGATGAAAGAATGAAAGAATGAATGAATGAATGAAGGGAGGAAGGGAGGAAGGAAGAAATAAATGGATGAATGAACGAACAACTGACGATCCCAACTAAAACACTCACAACAATAAAATATCAGAACGTAACCATGCGCTATAGGTTTTAACCGGGGCACAATTTATGTAAATTGCATGAGCCTGGACACAGCAGCTCGATCAAGAGGGCCCTCAGAGCTAAGTCTTTCTCTCTCTCTCACTCCTGCGCAGAAGCACGCGGCGAGTGACAGATCGGTCGATGGATCCGCCAGTCAGTCAGGCAGTCTTTCAGCAGAAGGAATTCCACCGCCTCATGGAAAGAGCCCGACACGGAATCATTGAGCGGGACTGCTCGGACCGGGAGCAATCGGACACGTCTGCGTTGAGCGACCGACGGGTGTCGGTCGTCTCGTAGAGGAGAATTCTGTATGCGATCCAGCACAGGACGCTCCACGCGTCGCAGCTCTTGCTGAGGTGTGCCCTTGGGGCGGGTGTCGCACCGTACCGCCTGCAGGTGCGAGCTTCCCACGCAGCCCGGCCGGACTCCGGAAACTGCTGCCGTGACGAGGCCCACACGCAAACCCGGCTGACGTGAGGGATCGCGGCCAGCCGGGGAAATCCGCTGACTGCCGCATTGTGATGTGAACGGTGTCTGGAAAACGGGACACTGTGCGTACGCGCCTGCGGGGACGGGCGGATCCCGGAAGTGTAGCGCGTAGAATCTGCTGTAGGAGACGCGCCAGTAGTAACCGGTCCTTCGATGAAACCGGAAAGCGACACCGGTTCTGTATTCAAGAATGGTGGGTGAATTATGATATTGATGACAAGGCGTGTGAAGATCTCGCGACTTACGTACTCGTCATCAAGTCAGTCTTGCACACGCTCACCGACTTGCCACATGAGAGCCCGCGCTTCCTTGTCCGGTGGGTGAGTGAGTTACCAGCCGGTAGTCGATTCATTCGAAGGAATCTCGATGTCGACCGCGAGCATCGAAATCAGTTCACAAAATTGTCCTCCACGGCACTCTCGGGCACCTGTTCCTTGTTTCATCAGATACTATTTCCGTTTTCTGGTGTCACCGGGGCCTTGTGCCTATAAGGGAAAAAAAAAATTATATCATTTTTATCAAAATCTCAAGAAACAGCGAGGAATCGGGAGAAGCATGTTCGCGCACATGTGGAAGTTTCATCAGAGTGAAGTATACAGCCGCAAAGGGCCGGGCCGGAGTGGCCCTAGCTTGGGAGCTTGGCTCTCGTCTGGGGTTCTATCTTCGATGTCAAGGTTTATCTGCAACAAGGTCGGGCGCTAGAATAAACGTTGTCTATCCGGTGACATCTTTGGCTTGACTCCACAGTTCGCATTTCTTCTGGAACTTTTGCAGCTCCTCTTGGCGCATGCGAACAGGACCCACTTTGACTCCCATGGAGAAAAGTAACTGACCGTTTGACCGACGAGAGAATCAGGGGCGTCGGGGTCCACCTTATCCGCCTTCGTTTCTCTAGTCCTATTTATCGATGTCCGGACACGAGTAACCGTCTCTCGGAGTTCCCGTCTTTCTGCAGTGTTGCTAGGATGTTTCTATTTAACGTTGTTTCAGATTTGGTATATAACTGCACTTGGTATCCCATCGGAGACGAAAAACCTCGGTTAGGTGCAACTGTAGAATGAAATGTTGCGGATACTTATGGTTATTGGGAGAAAAAGTAACTCTGGTCAACGTTCGATGTCATCATAGGTATGTTTGTTTTTGGTTGAGATTCACTCCATGATTGTTTTAAGCCCATGATATGTAATGTTATATAACTTTATGGCTATATAAATAAATAAATATGTATATATATAGCGACTTGGAACATCACAAAAGCACTAGTATACCTATTATGTTTATAGAACTATTTTAAAGTAACATAAGACCTTCCATAGTCACCCATATTGCAGTATGAGCTTTTGTAATCTAATAGTAAAAGTCTATAGTGTGAAATAAAGGACTGTCAGAGCCAAAGTACTAGGGTTGGAGGCATAGCCAAAAATGCATGCCCCCGGCGGGGGCATGCCTCATTTGCATTTTGTATATGGGGCATGCCCGTATGTATATATGTATTAATTGTAATGTAACATTGGAATGTTTTTTTATTTCTATTCAGATGCGAAACTTTTCATGAACTCAGTCCCAGGTCTTAAATATGGTCTGCAGCAATGAAATGTCCGCCTGATCTGAAACAGCACCCAGAATCTAGTGTAGTGAAAACGTGGAAAACTCTCTGGTGTAATGGTCTAGTACTTAGAATGTGATGTAGTTGTATAGTGCATGTGGAGATCATCTCGAAGTATATTGTGCTATATTCTACATATTATAAAGCATCGTTCAGTATAATCTAACTATAACTAATTGTATATTGATTATATTTTAGTTAAAATTATTTATTATAATCATATATTATACTTAAATTTATGTATACTTTGTACATATTGGAAATATATGTATTGTGATACGGGCATGACTTTTGATCTTGAAATGGGTCACGGGCATTACTTCAAAAATTTGGTCGCGCCTCCAACCCTACAAGATACTCTCACGGCTCTTGGTGTCAATTCCAAGAAAGTAACCCAATAGTAAAAGTCTATAGTGTGAGGGAAATGATTATCACAACCAAAGTACTCTCACGACTCTTGGTGTCAATTCCAAGGAAGTGAAATTGGTATAAATGATAATTGTAGAAATGCATTAGATTCACAGCAAACCCATCATACAAGTAGTTATAGAGTGCGGTCCATACATCACATGTTTTGAGTCAATTTTTAATTGAAACGAAATGCAATTCAGAACAACCAATCGAATAACAAAAATTATCATGTACACCTTGATGTTGATAAATGTAAATTCTGTTGCTCTTTTTGTCTCCTATTGCTCTTTATTGTTTATATAAAGTTTTAGAGTCCGCTCTCATTGTCTCCTTTTGCTCTTTATTGTTTATTTAAAATCTTAGAGTCTGCTGCGATATGTAAATTTTGTGAGATGTTCTCATGATTTTTCTCTATCACAACCATTTGTCAACAATTGCCTTCAAGACAAAGTTGAAGCGTGGTGGTTACATAATACTTCGTAAGAGAGAACTCACACAAATATCATCCAAACCAAAACACACAGCAAAGTAGACTTGACGCCGAAAGATTATGTGGTTCGCCTCCGGCAAACCACATAATGTATCGAGAACATTTGGATTTACTGAAAAAGCAGTTACAATGCTCGGGAACGAACTTAGTATGTTCGTCCTTTGTAGTCCAAGTAGACAAAAGCCTAAACCTTAATTCAAATCTTTTGGAAAACCATAGGATAGAGAGTTATTTTAACCGTCTATTCCTTAATGCATGTCATGGTGACAGTATTATCAATCACCTATATAATGAATGTGCAGTTTCTGTACATATTCAAATGTTGGATGGAGTTTAACCTATATTGACTTGAATACATGTATGTTCGATTATATCAAATATTTGGATCTTGATGCATCCAATGAACTCAATACTTTGAATTAATCATTTCTCATAAAAAATTTACAATTTGATACTAAACTGAATAAATGTGAAAAAACCCTAATGTAATAAATATGAAAAGAATGAACATTATCTAGAATCCATTCATTAATGTTTGAATTGAATAAAATATATCTATGAAATCATAGTACATTGTTCAACAAGTCATAAAATTTGTTCTTAATTTTATTATCATTATTTACTTTCAAATATGTTTAATCTTATTTTCAATTTAAAAATAAATTTTATTTAATATGATACATTTTTATGGATAAAATTTTCAAGGTTAGAAAAAAATTTAATCAAATGATTTAAATCAATAGAAATACTAAAGATTAAATCTCATAAATTAATGATTATTTCTTTGTAATATGATATAGTTCTTCCAACCACATGTGGAACTGAGAAATTTTTACAAAATATTGCATTATAAGGCATATGTGATGTAGAAATTTAATTTAATTTATTGATATTGTGAATCTTTTTACTAAAACTAAATCTTATGATATATGATATAAAATCGATTAGTATATTTTACTATTATGAATTTTGAGCACTGAAAAACTGATTTATCTAACAATAGCTAAAATATTTGTGATACAATTAATTTATAAACAATTATGTATACAATCAAATTATATCAATTGACTTCAGAGTATCAATTAGAATTTATTTCGTTCACTCCAAGAAAAATAATGCTTTCTAAATTTTTAGAATGTATGTGAGGAAATTTCTTCCCAAATTAATCATTTTTAAGATTAGTCGAAACATTTCATACTTGAACGCTCCATTGTCACTTCTTTTGTAGTAGTTACGTTAGTAGATCAAACCCGGCATTTAGAGCCAATTTCGCAGTTAGCTCTATTCACACTGGAAGGTAGTGTTGGAATCACAACTCAAAAGGCATGCCCGAGGGCACGGGGGCATGCCTCATTCGCATTATAGACGTGGCATGCTCGTCTGTACGAAAAAATTTAGACGTATTTTCCAGAGTTATAGACGGTGGGATCAGTCAAAAAATAAATGGGAAATTATGCTTGTTGTTGGGGCTGCATGGTACTGAAACTGCTCTTGGAACTAAAGGATTGCCAAGTATATGCAATGTTGTTTTTGTGTGGGTACGTGGTAAGTACACAGGTCCTCCGGCTTGTTGATTGTTTCTACTTCTAAGAATGCTTTATTTTCATAGAAGTATATTTTTTGATACATTAAATATACGTATTGTAATACGAGCATGCCTGGGGGCACGGGGTATGCCTTTTGGCTTTGAAACGGGGCATGGGCATGCCTCGAAAATTTTTGTTGTGCCTCCAACCTTACTGGAAGGTCTCCATTGTCTGCTTATGTAGCTTTATTCACACTGGAAAGGCCGATAGCGCTGTCAGGAGATGTAGGGCTGAAGGGTTTACAGTTCAAATTAGGGCTTCAAAGGGTGGAGTCTTTCTTAGTTGAAATTTGAAGAGTGCGTAGTGCTAGTATTTGAATCACAAGGTGGGTATATCTATACTGGAAAGTGATACTTTATGTGATAATTATCACCGCCATGTTTTTCTGGACGTTTTGAATGTAAAGAAAATTTATCCAAAAAACCTCATTGTGACTTTGAAGAAAAAATTTGGAGAGCCAACAATATTTTCGCAAATGTTGGATCTATGGTGGATTCGGTGTACGAATTCAATTGATCATCTTCAGTATTTTGAATTATTTTTATCCCGACTTTATTTCGTTGTGTACAAGTGAATTCCTTTTGATATGTACGATCAAATCTCTTGAAGAGAATTGCCCTCATCCAATATTCTATTTAAAATTGATTATATTTACCGGTGCACATCTTTCGCGAGACGAAAGCAATCAATGTATACTCATGGCTCTTTCTCTTGATTACAAATGCCGATGTGCTCTTATTTCATTTTACTCCAAAGCGCTGAGTAGCTTCTTTATTGCAACTTCACCTGTCGCTGGGAGTTTTTGTTTTAAATGATTCGAAACAAAACCATTTAACTATTTCTGTGGCGTGGCACGATTTGTGACACAGGAGTTTACTGGCAGATCTCTCGCAACGATAAAGGGTAAACTCCTTTGGAGTTGCGGGAGTTCTGCGGAGTAATACAGCTGGTAAGAAAGTTTCGCACTCTGTTCCGCGATACGGAAATTCCGACTCTTGTGCTTGCATGCCTCAAAGGAGGGCCAAGTTTTGGTCAAATCTATATACAGGACATACATCGTAATCACCTGGTTGATCGTAGACTCGCATTCATACGAACAACTCTTAAGACTTTCTCACTGGAACAACCAAATTCGTAGCGGATTAGAGAAAGACAGGGCGGATCCTTGTAAAGAGAGATTAAAAATCACTGCAATAATATCGTATTTTACTACAAGAACGTGAGTATGATCTGCAGCTACCGTCTCCCGACATCGACAATATAGCATTGACCGGCAACTCATCTACGCAGAAAGAAGTTTTCAAGATACAATAGAAATAGTGAACAAATAGTTCACCCTGGAAAGGTGGTTAGCCAGATGTTTAAAGACAAGTGTGCACTGTGGTGGTCAACACAAGTACTCACTCCGACCCGGCACATTGTTTAATCGATTCCAAAAAAAATTTAACAGGCGTGTGTCAACAATGGCTTAAAGACCCAATATTGAACGATGATTGCCCTCAAAGTTATGGTAGTACAATGGTCACTTGTACAAGAAGATGTAAAACTTGGACGTCATCGACGTCGACAAAGAAGCTAATATCTCTTGAAGTCTTTTACATCGTAGGTAGAGCGAAACTTAGACTTTGTCACCGTATGCTTGAATGAAAAATCTTTATCTACTGATTCTTGGCAACGACGTAGGAAGACACCAAAAACGTTTAATTGGCTTCTTAACTATAAGATAATGGCAAGCGCTACATCAGCAAAATGCTGATCCTCCTTGAGTATCGGTGGTAAGCAGTATTCTAGACAACGGAATACTCTGTAATCGTTACTTCAGCTCGTAGGCTTGCGTATAATTTGGTGAACCATCAGCTCAGATAAATATCAGCAAGATGCTGATTCCTTCTTGAGTATTGCGATAAGAAATATTCTGTCCTACGGAGTTTTGCAGTCGTCGCTAATGCTCGTAAGCTTGCGCAGAAATTTTTACGAACCGACAGCTTGGCTAGACTGTACATACGGATGAGGTACTTACACCAATATCTCGGTTTCTCCTCGTATAGACGCTCATAATCTGGCCGCTCTTGCATGATATTCTTCATGCCGGATTTTCAAACTAGAGGGCTTACTCAACTTTGCCAATAATTTTACGTTTGTATGATCGATCTTCCGTCGTAAGTGGGCTACTCCTCAGATAGTAAAACTTCCTATAGTTTACAACATCTGTTGGTGTTTTTACTGTTGCCAAGGGCTTTGACGTGTCCTCACCATTTTCCTGCAGACAACGATCGACACAAATTCAATCATTAGCGTCCAAGTATATCAAAGTCTACAACTCTTATTTTATAGTATCGAAGTTTTGTAGAGATGAAAGAGTCAGTCCAGTTGATATCAATTATACAGTATACTTCCTAGCTGAGTTTACCAAGTGCATTCAGCTTTCAGCAGCAACAACATTTCTTCTAGTAGTTGTGTTGCTCGAGCTTCAGAAAGAACTGTAAAAGGCAAACTTAATACGTGCTGAAGGGCAAAGTCTACCTAACTGCTACAGAATAGTTTACGGACCTTGGTATCGACAACGTCAATTTCTGGCTTCATATAAACCCAGAAGAAGCAAAGGTGTGCGCATTCTGTAAGTAACACATACCTCATCTGTTCGTTGTGCGTTGCCAGAAACGTGTCCATTCGAGGAACCGTTTCCGAGAGGTGAAGCCTCTAGCCAGGTAAGAGGGGAGCTGGATCCACCATTTATCTGTTGTACCGCAGACTCTTGTGATCGTCGGAAGTCTGCCTCTTCTTCTTCCTGAAGACAATCGAAGTTGGCCTGATGAGTTGCTAAGCCGGGAAGGAAGTTCCTAAAGAAATTTTTTAAGGGGGATAATATGAAACAAGCAGTGACCTATCGACGTACCATGTAAGAATTCTGTTTGTCTTTGAAAAATCTGATGCATCCCGAGACCTTCAGACTAACATTTTAGGAGACACGTCAACTTAATATTATTATGATGCAATTTTGGCGCACTTGTTACTACCATCATTCTACGTTGATCGATGAACCATGCTGGAAGATCTTTGGGTAATGTAACAAGATCTTCGTCGAATAGCTCCATAAACTGCTCATTAGCATATCGTGCTTTACTTCCAGCATAGCGCCTATACTGTTGAATCAAAAATAAAATAAAGCATATGTCAGTCTCAAAACTCACTAAACGCAGACAAAAAGGGCATTCTATATGTCTTAAAATTAAGATAAGCCAGGCGATAAAATCCGGAGGATCATGATAGTAGCTGTAACATTTTTAACACTTTTTTTAGCTGTATCAATTTTTAAACATCATATCAGCATAAGAACTAAACCCAACTTGAAGATTGAGCTGTGTTCAACCTGAAACCCTGATTCATTGGAAAGGTACTGAGAACTAACCTCCTCCAAAAGGGAGGTCAAGTTCCATTTTTGCAAACGTCGAAGGCACCCAACCACTGTTCCTGTTTGATGTATTCCTGACCTGCGCAAGTGCCAAGAGGGATTTAAGACTCTTCCTTCCTGGTAATATGCATGTGAGAGGGCAGTTTCTTGCTGCAAAGAACGTTTCTAAACTGAGGAATAACCTTCATCAGGGCTTGAAAAGGAGAATTTCGAGTCAGAAATATGACTTTCACGTCTGTGAACAACCGGAAATGTCAAACAACTGGTATTCAAAGACTGTAAACAAGCGCAAGTGGCCTTCTTCAACGAAAATATGCAAATTCTTATGACTACGCCATTTGAAGATGCTTGCATCAACATATAATGTGGCCAAGCTGGCACGTTGCTGAGGCTGTTCACACAAAAAAAAACACGAAAAAGGGAGAGATAGCGTATAGATGTAACACTAACGAGCACATGACCATAATCGGATGGGTATTCACATCCAAAACGATCTCCAATGCATCCTTTATAAGCTCCTCGCTTACGGGCTTCCATGTTGCGTACGGCTTCCACACCCTCAATCCTAGATGAATCTGCACAACCCAAATTCAGTGAGTAGGTGAAATTCAACACCCAAAAACACGCAGCAACTTAATGGGGTGCATGAAATCTTGAACAACGTACACAACTGTGTTACGATTTTCCAGCTAATTCACTTCACTATGTCTGTCTCATGTGGCTGCTCTTCTGCAGATAAGCTTCAAAAGTTGGCAATTCTGGAATAATCACCCGGATACTCTAAGCAAGAAGTAGATTAAGGGCAGAAATTGAACTCACAAAGCGGGTAGCACATTTGTCGAGAAAGGCGGTGAACGATGGCAGGAGAGGATCAGGGGAGAGGTAAAGCAGAGTGCGCAAACGCAAGTGCAACAAAAATGGCAAGTTGGGCGCAGCTGCTGCTTTTGCTCGATAAACCCCTGGTTCCACAACCCCATAAGCATCGGGCACACTCATGTAAGCCACCATAGCAGCCATATTTCTATTAAAAAGTAGTCACCAACCCAACCACAGCCGATATTTCCCTTCTCAGGCCATGCTATACCTATGCTCCTCCACGGTCGGGATTGCCATCTCTTGCTGAAAATTCGACCGAAACAGGCTCCGCTTTCTCACTCCATTCATAACTTCACGATCCAATTTCTAGCACTTCTGAGCTTTCTCACTCCATTCATAACTTCACGATCCAATTTCTAGCACTTCTGAGCCTTAAAGCACCTACGGCGCACGGTCGCATCTATCCTGGTCTCCTGGATACCTTCGTTGTCTTTGAATCTCATGGAAGGCCTAAGTCCCCAAAAATACCAAAAAGCAGGAAAAGAACGAACAAACGAACAGATGATCAAAAAGGGGTCAGATCTTTGGATAACGATATCACCAAAGCCCCAGCTCACATGATCTCAAGTGCAAAGCACGGTGTAAACCAGAACAGATCCCCATCTGCATTCTCAACCCTACTGCCTTCGCAGCACAAACGATCCTAGGGTGCCAAATCAGACTGTTACAACAACGAATCTCCTCTGACCCCACTTCACCAGATCTCAATCCAATCTCTCTTTCAATCCTCTTCTCTCTCTCTGTCTCTCTCTCTCTATGTCTCCTCCCACAACGCAGAAAGAAAAAACAGACACGCACGAGCATCAAATCATGTGCAACATTATCCAGGGGAACGAGCTCTCGGACGCTTCAAATTACTGGCACAGTATGTAAATGGACGTAAACAGCGGTCAGAAAGACCAAATTCTGTTGCAGCAAGGCAAGAAAGACAGTGTTGAGATAGGATCGTCTTGGTCCCTCTCTACCTTTCCAGATTCGTCGGTACGAACAGACTCAGACGTAGAATCATACGAGGGATAATGATGTATTCTGCAGTCCATCAATCGATAAAGGGATCACAAGGGGCTGGAATAAGACCCACTGGCCATCAATGTCATCATCAGTCTTCCTTTACTGTCTCTCTCTCTCTCTGTCTGGCCCCTCCAAGAGACCCCCAGCGCTTGTCTACTGCTCCTGCTACTGTGCTTCGTTCCCCCTAAAGTTACCATGCTGTTATTCTGCAGAATTTCGATTCCTGCTGCCTTTCTGACACGTGGTCCTTTTATAGAGTTCCCGTCGCCGGGAAGTTGGAGACCGGTGTCGTAGCGACGGCTTCTGAACTTGCCCTTTTCAGATGGTCCAATGGTTGTGTACGCTCGCTCTACCTCGTCGAAATCTGTAGCTTCCTCGAAGGTACTACCCGTGATCGGTAGTCCCCGGTTGAGTACCCAGGAAGTGTTGAACAGAGATCGATATAAAGCATTTATCATACTCTCTTGAACTTACGAATTGTCAATAATATAGAATATGATGTTAAAAAAGTACTTATTCACACTGATTCAGACTTGTGACGACACATAAATTTAATCCTGAAGTTTTCGACAAATGAACGCATGGGACAATTTATCTCGACAAAAAGATGTGAATATCCCATCAAACCATCTTTGTGGGGCTTGATGGTGTGTTCATCTGTTGTAAACTTCAACACTCAAGTATATTCATATCATCCGTGTAGGGCTTCAATACCCCAATTGAATATATTATCATTAATGTTACTTATATGAATAACTTGAAGAAATATGAAAGACATTTGAGTCACAAAGGTGTCATCACTAGGGTTTTAGGCACAAAATAAAATTTTGAGTCATGCCCATGTACCCTTCCTGGTTAAAAGTCATGCCCCATATCCCATGCATGCCCGTATTACAATACAGAGTACATACATTTGACATATCAGAAAATATACTTCTTTGAAAATAAAACACTCTTAGAAATATATTCAATCAACAAAAAAATAAGAGCTTCAAACTCAAGGAGATGACTGAACGGTATTCAAGATCAAAAGATGGTAGCAATGTACACACCATAACATATGATAGTAGAATCTCAAAGTGTCTATCTTAAGATCCATGCAAATCCGTAACATGGAGGGTATGCATAGAAGCAAGAAGTACAACGGCACCAGTCAAATTCATATTAATCATCAAAATTGTGCAGAATATAAGTACCATGCAATTCCTTGGCATGGAGTAATTGCATAGTAGCAAAAAGTACAATAGCACCACCCAGCCATCCAAAATTGTTCAAAGCAGAGCTCAGCTTTACTTAGATACGACATTTGTGCAAAAACCGGATATGATGCTGTCAGCTTATTCAGGCACGATAACAACCGTTCAATACAAGGTTTGACACCTCTACCATTCAAAACATCTACAACAAGAAGTCATGTGAACAACAAAGCCGTAAGTAGTAAGTTGATTATTCCACTATAAAATGTTTGTGGCAACTACTTCATAGAGAAGTAGAGTAGAAACCTAGTCATACAGTTGCCTTTTCAATCCGGTCAAGCAAATCTCTAACATATTTTGGACATGACTTTCTCAAAGCATGAGTTTCTCAAGGTATGATCCATTTCAAGAATTGTTCAACTTCTTTAACACTAGGATTTAGAGATAAGCTCATTCGAAGATGAAAACTCTGAAGATAAAAGATAGCAACAATGGATCTAGTCTTCTTTGTTAGCTCTTACTAAAAAGTACAATGAGATATCATCACCATCCATTCCACTCCTAGTGGATGAATGAAGTGGCAAATAATCCTAATAAACACATTGATTATTGACTTGGTGTTTCTAACTAACACACTCAATCTTTATCTAACAAGCATATAGATCGTTCACATGGCGTTATCAACTAACGTATTTATTCCCAATCTACCAAGCACGCAGAATCGCTTACGTGGCAGTTATGACTAATGCATGCTTAAGTAACTATATGAACATTTTGAGTAAACTCTACTTTAGTTTTATCTAACTAAAGATGGTTACAATTTCAAAGTCACAGAGTTTGTACTATGATCAAGCAGCATGCATTTTCAGAGGAGTGTATAAATTAGCAACATACAACAAATACACAATGCTTGTGACGGTTTGAAGATTATGCAATTTTCAGACTCAAGAACTAATTGAACATCTTCCAGTAAACAAATGCAAATCATGCAAACATATAAATGGCTAAATCACAATAAACATGAATTTACAATGAGATGCAACCTTTGAAAAACTAACAAGCTTATAGTTATAATATATCATCTTCAAAATACTTACTCTTATGAGATGTGTAAGAAATGAAGATATAATACAAAAAAAGTTTCAAAATAAAAAATCATGTACATTTCAGTCTTCTTCATTTATTATTTTTGCCTCTATTTCCACTTTAAGCATATGGCATTTTGACAATATTTTAGACTGTTTTTGATGAAATCAAAATACATATCAAAATCTACCTGAAAATCATCACTATCGACCAAAGTAAGCTTCAAATCTTTCAAAGTCAGTTCATCGGCTGGTCTCACAGTGCGTATTACATCTTCATTTACATATTAAGCTTTTATTGTAGATTGAGTAATAACTCAATCTACAATGTGCAATATAAATTTATAACTCATGCATTCATCATCAAATGTAAACATATAACTAGAAATTTTTTTATACAATTTGTAACATAATATGACATGAATATTGCATTCTCTAATATATTATCAAACAGTATACCATACTATTTAATACTAATTAAGAAATTGTGTGGTACCCCACTTTTGGTATTTTTGAGGAATTTAAAACATTTTTGGAAAACTGTACCGCGCCAGCAATGTAAATAGTCATGGGTGCATCAAAATAGAGTGAGACTGGAGGATCTCGGAGAATCTCGAAAGATCTCGTAGAATCCAGGAGTTGGGTGCAACGTCTGGGACAGGCACCGCCCTAGATACGGGCTCTGAAGGAGTAACCCCTTCGGCGCAAGGCGCGAAATCCGCCTTCGGCGCTGCGCCTTCGGGGCTAGAGGAATCCTTCAGAACCTTGTCAATTCCCAAACGCCTTGACTTCATTAGGATTTCGTTGGAAAGAGCTCGACGCGCTGATTCTAACGAGCCCAAGAACGCCACGAACGGATGAGGACTCCGGGAGTTATGTAGGTCGCAAGACACTCAGCTTCTCGCCTACGAGTAGGCGAGGAAAGTTTGTCCTATGCGCGGACGAGGGAAGTCCGCCTACGCGTAGGCGAATTGGGGTTTGACGTCGGCGGGATGTCCGCCGCGAATGTCGCCTACTTGTAGGCGGGGAGGACTAACACCTCTGCACAGGCGGACGAGCGAAGGCCACCTACGCACATGCGCTTCGGCGTCGTGTAACCATCTTTAGTTAGTTAGAACTAAAGTAGAGGTTACTCTGAATATGGTTGTAGATACTTTAGTGTGCACTAGTCATAGCTAACACATCAGCGATCCGCGCACTTGGTAGGTACAGAGTGGATGTGTTAGTTGACAGTGCCACGTTAGCAATCCGTGTGCTTGTAGGTAAGGATTGAGTGTGTTAGTTAGTGTGTTAGTTGGGTGCGCCACGTCAGCAATCCGTGTGCTTGTTAGGGTTATCCGCCACGCCATCCATCCACTAGGAGTGGGATGGATGGTGGGGATTAGATCTTATCACCTTGTACTTGTTGGTGAGAGCTATATAAGGGAGAGGATAACCATTGTTGGTATCTCTCATCTTCAGAGTTTACGTTTCTATCTTCGAGTGAACTTCTCTCTAAACCCTAGTGTTACAATGGTATCAGAGCGACCTTGCTCTTTCCTTGAGTGTGGATTACCCCACATGGAATAGCAAGTGAGTGATGATGGAGTGTAGTCTTGAGAGTGTATAGAGGCTGGCAGAGGTCATTCATCTGCATGTAGAGAGAGGTGGAAGGGGGAAATTGTGTTTTTGCAAATATGGACGGGATTGACAGGAATCCAGTACCGCATTGGCCAATTCCTAACCTATTCAATATTCACCTTCGTTGCATGGAGAAACATCATTTTCGGATGTACCTTGTGGCTTGTTGGGGTGCAGATTTTATGACTAGAGTGATGGAGTCAAGAGTGCCACTGATTCTTCCAATAGTTATTTATGGAGAGACTTGGGATTGTACTATATACATTCTATACTGATTGTTTCATGGATTTGAATCGCGAACCACCTGTCCCGGTTCGATTCAGCACTTATGTAGAGATTAGAACAGTATATAGACAGAAGAGGATATGGAGAGATTTTCTTGTGAGGAATTATGGAGAGTAGTACTATAGAGCTGTGATAGAGTCACCTGCACCTTTTGTGACTCCTTTGTTGAGAGGTCACATAGTGATTATACTCACTTTGTATTAGAGGGATTGTGAGAAAGCATGGGAACATCAATTGATATGGGTGAGGTTCTCAATGCAATCATGGCGGAGATGAAGGAGTTGAGAAAAGCAATAGTAGATGGGCATACCAAGCAGCAAGCCATGGAAGATAAAATCTTCGCATTAGAGAGTGAGAAAGTAGAGAGAGAGAGAGTTGGAGAGATGGAAGTTGAACCTCAAGTTCAAGCTTCCCAAGTTCAGCCAGACTCAACTCCTATTGATGCAGCACAGGCAAATAGGAGACGTCTTCAAGAGATTGAAGATCAAGCAAATCTTTTGCTTCGAATGGGAAAATCCTGTAAGGTGGAAGCTTACAAAGGGAGTAGAGCAATGGGAGTGTTAGAGGGATGGATTATGAGGATGAATATTCATTTATCCCATTTTCATGTTTCTGATTATATTGCAGGAATGTTCATGAGATCTTATCTTACGGATAAGGCTCTCACATGGTACACAACATGGGAGAGAATGCTTTCAGAACGAGGTGCTACCATTTCGTGGAGTGGAATGCAAGAAAGACTTCTGCAAAATTTTCAAGCGGTGGATTCTCTTCAAACTGCAAGAATGAAGTTGTGGGATCTGAAGCAGAAAGGAGGTATTCATGGGTACATTGAAGAATTTCGTGATCTTCAAGTATCTATCATGGATATGAGTGGAGCTGAAGCCTTGGACGTGTTCAAACGAGGCTTGAAAGATCGAATTCAAAAGGAGGTGATGGTAAGCAATCCATCTACTGTGAATGAAGCAATCGCAATTGCTCAACGAATTTCAGGTGCTTTTGGTGTCACACACGGTGAACCAGTGAGCAATTTTAGAGATCCATCTGGTCCAACACCGATGGAGTTGGGAAACCTTC